CTAAAATCAAGTTTTTAAATATTGGATAACGTATTCCTTGATAAATAAATTATAACTGTCTTTCCTATTTACAGTATACAAATATTTTATAATAATAAGTATTCGAAATAATATAGAGTTTGATGTGTAACACATAACTGCATTTTCAACAAATAATATATACATATGTCGTCATAAAATTGGGAACTAGAACATAACATTAACATCTTTGTTAAACACTTCTGACATTTATAGTGTTGTATAAATTATTGAGAAAACAAGTAAAATGATTGAATTAGATAACTGCTTCCAGATAGAGCAAAAATTATAAATCACATTGCAGTATTTGAAATTATACTCTACTCAGAGAAAACTGTTCTGCTATGAAAATTTTCAAGTCACGCATCTAACATTTTTGTTCAAGTCTGAATTATTATTCAATTCAAGCTGCAATAAAACGCAAGTAACAATAGATTTCTGCAGTGAGTATAGCGTACAACGTTTTACTGGATCAGTACAGGAAAATAATATACTCGAATTATGTATTAAATTTACACACGGATATAAAATAAGTCTATCCTCTCCCCATATCGCATAGAAACTGACGATTTAGGTATATCTTCCCTTGGTATTAATTTTGTGATCAATAAAATAGATTGAGACAACCTTTTCCACTATCGCATTATCTACGACGATCAAGAGCGCTAACTTAATTTAGTGACTAGGACAATAATTAATATAACAACTACTATGATAGCGAGCAACAGTAAGATAAAAACTTTTCGACGGTATTTACTTTGGTAATTACTTCCCTTGATCAATTCTTGCGCTCCTAACTCAACGTTTCCATGTACGTTTTCTATATGGCTGTCTATTGTGTCTGGAACAAAAACGAATATAAGAGTCCATGTAACAATGATTTAACTTGGAAGGATACGGAACTCAGAGCTGTGGAGTTGGAGTTTGGAAGCAATTTTTAACGGCTAGAATTGGAGTCGTGAATTTTGATTTTAATTACTTACTTAACGTGTCGCCTTGCTGGTAGACCACTGCCGCGAGTTCTCGCATTATCTGATTCACATCCAAAATATCGCCTTCAATACATTTTACTATATCTTCTCTCTCCAACAATAAGTCTTGTCGAAATTCTAGATTCCTAAATGTAACAAAGAGCAGATCATTTTTTAAATACTTTTCCACACATTTAATGACATCACTTAATGAGCTTGAGTTGATATGCATATAATGAAACGAACTTACCACATGCTCAAGTGCATTTTATAGCTTCTCTACATTAATAATACATATTGCAATTATTTTTCAAATAAATTTTATGTTTAAAGTATGTCAATCAATATTTATGCTATAAAATCCACA